GAGATTTTCCGAATATTCATAGAGTTCAACGAAAATGAGCTCTGAGCCATTCTTTAAAGCAATCCTCTATCCGTGGAAAAGATAAAGCAAACGGAGCAATTTTTAAGAAAATGTTTATTTATAATTTGAATTAATTTCAAGCAGAAATTACACGAAAACAACTCGAATGATGGCCTCATTTAAAGATCTGATTTTGTTTCACACAATAATATCTCTCTTCAATATTGTAGTTTGGAATGTTCACGTTTTTGCAATGTTTTGCAATTTTTGAAAATAGAGTTTGCCAAAAGTGAGACTAACACCACTTTTTTTTACCGTTCTTTGATACATACGCGGAGAAAATTAAAAGAAGAATTTGGAGCCGATTCTGAAAACGTAATTTTAAAAAAATTGCTTATATTTCACGAAAAATTACGCACAAACTACTTATTTTACGCAAAAATCTCAAATATTTTACATCCCCCCCCCTTTTCGCTTATATCTAAAAAACTACCTCCGTTTTTCCGACACTACCTTCACATAAAAAAATGAAGTAGACAAATTTTCTATAAATTTCATATACTAGATTTAATTTTTTGACAATGTTTTCACGCGTTTACCAGAATATGATGGAAACGGGAGAAAAGAGAATAGACATGTTCTGTAGAATGCCGTATATTCATAAAATATTCTTTCCAACAATATGCTCTAGCGTGTGCTAGATTATGACGTAAAAGAAACAAAACTAAAGAGGAAATTTTAGGTATGATGCAAAAATATAGGATCATAAATACAGGATAAGTTCGTTAATATTGCGTAAGGTATGTTTTAAGATGAAAATACGTCGAGAATAAGAATAATACGGCGATAAGGCATTTCCAGCGGTGCCGGTAAATTTTTACTTCCATATTTACCTTTAGCAAACGCCATAACGACGATCTCAGAAATCGATTCATTCATTACTTGAGGCGTTACCGGCTAAGTTTACATGGATATGAAGTCGGGCGGGAATTGGTCGAGAATACATTTTTGCTGGACATTCAGCCAGGGTTCTTTTACATGCTGTTAATGACGCATGTCAAGGTCTTGGGCAGGTAACTTTACTTTCTGGAGTTCGCGGGCACTGCGTCCAGAGCCACTGGCGCGTGGTTTAAAAAAAAGGTTGTACCAAACGCTCCGGGGTGGCGCGTCACTGTAAACCTGGCTCATGACACTCCTTTAGAGAAGTCTTTAGATAAGTCAGTTTACAGCTACTGTTCCGAAAGCTATAGTTATTTCAATTTCCTTTAATATAGCAAGGAAATGATCCATTAAAATGGAAATACGAGTGTCATATTTGAAGTTGCCAACTGACTGGAAAAATAAACATTTTGAATCGGAAAGATACGGTTCCGTAATTACTTTTCTTAAGAGTGCAATATTTGCATGAACTTCCTACCTCGAGGTTAAGAAGTTTAACAGGCAAAGATTCTTCTCTGTTAAAAAGCTGTCCGCCCATAAGAGATACGTGTTAATTTTTTCACATTATTGGTATGTATACAAAATGGAACGATTACATATATATCAAAAACAAAAAATAAAATATTTATCCATATAAATGTATTCCAGCTTCTTGGCAAACATTTTTATACACGACAGAATTTAAAAATAAACACGGAATAAAGTAATAAGTGAAGTATATACACAAAAATTCAAATTTCGTTTTTGATAGCATTAGCAAACATATTTTCGTATGAAGCCACCATTATTCGTGATACTTCCAGGACGATCTGCCCTATTGCCCGCTTCAGCGCGTACACGCTCTTCTGGTTTTGGAGAGGAAATGAGAGCGGATCTAATTTGTTAATGCTTTATTTTACGTGGCGAGATTCGGCTCATCAGGTTCGCTCATCCGTCTGACTTTGCAAATTTTGCTAGGCTCCTTTCACCATCTAGCCGAGAAAGAAGGTATTACTCGGGCGACGAAAAAGGCGATTTTTTAAAATTTAGCCTAGAGGCTTCTTTTAGAAAATGTTTTACATGCAGTAAATCTACAACATGGGACAGCCGGCCTTATTTCCCATCTGAAGGAAGGCAACGAAGTATTTTTTTTGCCCTTAAAAATCCACGGCTTCGATCGGGTTTGAACTTGCAAACTTGGGTTCAACAGCCCAATACGCTAACAGTTGTACCACCGAAATCGCAAATCAAGGGAAGTTGCCTGTGGTCACAGGAGCGCCGGGCTTCCCAGGCTGGCAAGTGCGGACGCAGTTTGACATGACTGCTGAAAGTGCATTACCACTGAGGATTTTCCACCCCTTCGAAAATTCACGTACACGTACACCCCTTCGAAAATTCACGTACCACAGTCGCAGTCGAAGTGATGTCACCCGCTATTGCTGCAGGCGGCTCACTGTCTGCAGTACGGCATGGTTAGCAGCTTTAGCACTGTATCCGTTTGCTATAAATTTACCCTTCAGTAGCATTAACTTGCAGTCTAAGAAATCCTCATCTCACACTCTGCTCTAATGTCGAGAGTCACACGTTGCTCTAATGTGCGGAGATTTTAAAACCCTTTTAGTTGCTTGGAGTTAGTGCGAGTCGGCGCACTGGTTATAGTTGGTATGGGTTGGTTTCCTGTAATCTCTGTACTGTGTACACTGCCGTTAATTTTCCGACTCACCAACACGTCGAGGGAAAGCAATTTCCCCTCATTTTCCACATCCATAGTAAACTTAATTTTGGTGTGGTTGTTATTGAGGTGTTGGAGGAAGTCAGCTAAAGTGTGAGGGCTACACTACCAGTTTATCGTCTACGTAACACATGGAGAGCCACAGTGTTAGTTTAAGTAGGACACCTTGCAGGGCCTCCTCTGTTTCGAACACTTCCATGAATAATTAGTCCACCACAGGAGAGAGAGGTAAACCATGTCCTCTTTTTCTACTTGGGCATAGAGTTGCTCACGGTTCTGAAAAAAATGTGGAAAATGTGAGGCAGAACTGAGCCAAGTCGGTTAATTTCCTTGTGAACCCGCGGGAGCGCATTTTGTTGCATATGACAGTGGCCGTCTCGTCCATCAGCACCATAACCTGACATCAATACGGACGACGATGTTGGTGTCATTTAGGCGTTTCTCTTTCAGTAGATTTGATGTCGTGGGTTGCACAAATCACAGACAAGATTGCTTTGGTACATATGCAGTTTATTTACATAAATACTTCTGTGCGGTACCATTTACTACCGGAGCATTCGCTCCCCGTTAGCATCTGGTAACTACCGAACGCACTGTTCGACATGAGCCTCGCGCTCATACCCTCAAGCTTGCGGCCTCCCTCGCACCCTGGCGCCCTCGCGGCAAACGTTTGTGGAACAATGGTCTCCTTTTGCAGTGGCCACGCGCCTTTATAGACTCGCTATGACCACGTCGCCACCCACGTGACCACGTCGCCGTCTTGCGACACATCTGGCGCCATTATGGCACCACCCCTTTGGACCTGCACCCTCGGGCTCGACCCTCGCCCTCTTCCTGCCCATTGTGATGCTTTCCGATTCCACTCGTATCCATTCTGGACGCGTTCCCGCTCCCCGCTGTGTACCGCGTTGCTGAGTAGCGGTCGCTAGAATATCAATAAAGTGAACCGAATTCCTAACGGCCGATTTGATTTCGTCAGTCAGAAGCTGTAGTTTGTCGACCTTGTTGCGTGCATGGGTGGGTGGGAGATTTGATTCCGTTCACGAACGGGCGCTTTGTCACGCCGGGCTAGTTTGTCTTGAGAAACCATAAAACCTAGGAACAGACTGGTTGCCTCATTGTGGACCAGGTTTGGTGTCCGATTCTATGACCATTGAGTTATTTACCCACGCCACAACCTATTTCCTCAACTTCCGTACCGGATTTCTGTGTGCGTCTTGTAGATCTCAACAGTCAGTAATGCCCAGACTTTGGAATGGTAATCTTTAGCCAACTATCTATTCACTAATTATGTATCTGTTGTGTGGAAGACAGCCAAGGATCTATTGACACAGGCCGTGGTAACCTAAGTTTTCTACATATTCATTGTGTTCTTTCTGATTCTTGGGAGTTATCTTTCCGACAGCCGATTTAAACATTCGTTCAGTGAAGTCTAAGCTGCATTAAGAGTCACAAGGATAGTATCTATCTGTAAAACGTATCTCACGCAGCGTAGCTTAATTCATGTTTCAATATTTATACTTTAATTGTATTGCTTATCTAATATAGGTGACAAATAAGTCTTCTGAATCATTTCATAAGTTGCCATCGCGTATATTTCTTCGTGTAGTAAAGGAAGTATCAACACAATGTTTCGTTCGCTAGTCGGTAACGATTAT